AAGCTACAGAGCCTAGGAATAGCCTGCTCTACTTTTTAAAAACGGAATTGCAGTTTTATTGCTTATAGATTATCAGAACATTTCAAAGGGGGCACAGCCACATTGGATATTAACCTATGGATTAACTACATCATCGTTGTTATCGTTTTAATGCCATTGAAGACCAGTTTAGACCAGACAAAGACAAAGGTAAGCCATGTTAGCGTTGTGGTCTACCTAGCGCCACTTGTTTTGATGTACGTTTTTGTTGATAACGTCGCGAGTTTGTACCTTTCAGTGTTGAGGTGGGCACCGTTAGATTCTGTGTCTTTACGATCATAAGCGATGTGTTGGATGTGCTGCTAGGATAAGCAATAAGGGAGCTAGGAGTGATTTTCGGTGCAGTAATAGGTTAGCATTTTTCGCTCGGGGCTAATTCAGAGGCTCACTGTTAGCATTGTGTGGTTTTAAAAAAAAAAATGAAAAAGATCAGTGAAATTAGTTTTTTCCCGTTATATGGATATAAAATATTCATATTTTATTAAATATTAAGGTTCCTTAGACGTTGTTTCCTGCAAATGAAGCGATTTCGGCCCCGGAACCGGGTCCGTGGGGCCTAAGAGGAAGACTCAAGACATTTCTTTTTGCCTCTTTCTTTTATTAAAACAAATGTTCTTTTTATTTCTGGCATTGTATTGTAACTTTTATTCTGTTATTTATAATAGTTGTCCAATTATATTGAAGCTTTTAATTGTTAATTCTGTTTTGTCTTAAATTACGGTTTTTAATCAAAGTTAAATGTCATTTCATAATTGTCTTCCTTTATAATGATACATAGGCAGTACATACAGTATATATATATATATATATACATGTCAGGGTTTCCACACATAGCTCCACACAGAGGGAGAGGCCTGCCGATGCGGAGCCTGAAGAGGTTTCAACAACGGCCACAGCCTCCAGCGTAGTGACACCGTCTGTAGTAATAGCAGAGTGATTTTATAGCAATTGATCGAATCCGTGCTGCTGCGCCAGTCAACAGAGCGTGCGTGTGATATATTTAGTAGCAGGATGTGCACTGAAAAATAGGGCTCCCCCGAAAGCAAATGGGTAATTCGAACACTGCCCTCAGGTCCGCAACCTTGGCCTTGTATTGGATTCAACCCTTTCATTTCAGAACCACATCAAGTCAGTATCAAAATCAGCCTTCTTCCACCTTAGAAACATATCCAGACTCCGGGCATCACTCTCCGACTCTGTTGCAGAGAAGCTCATTCACTGCTTCATTACCTCCCGCCTGGACTATTGCAACGGACTCCTGTCCGGGGTTCCCAGCAAAACCCTGGACAGGCTCCAGTACATCCAGAGCCAGGGTTCTCACACACACCAAGCCCTGGCAGCACATCACCCACATTCTCTTCAACCTCCACTGGCTCCCGGTCAAGTCCCGCACCACCTACAAACTCCTCCTCGTCACCTACAAATCCCTCCATGCCCTCTCGCCTCAGTACCTCACAGATCTCCTCCACCCACCCATACATTCCGTCCCGCACCCTTCGATCCTCAGACTCCGGCCTGCTCTCCATTCCCCATTCACGCCTCCGCACCTTCGGGGACCGTGCCTTCAGTGTCGCTGCCCCCACCCTCTGGAACTCCCTCCCAGCTGAAATCCGTAACGCCCCTTCTCTGAACATCTTCAAATCAACCCTGAAAACTCATCTGTTCAACAAAGCCTTCCAACATTAACTCACTCNCAGAGAGTCTCTCCGAGAATGTGCTTTTGAATAATTTCGGAGGAATATTTATTATGTAAAATCTTCATAATATGGTATAATCCTTCAATATCTCACTATTATGCAGGGATGCTACCAAATCACTACCACCACATCAATAGTCTCCTGTTGCTCATTACTACAGAAGAGAGTTTGGAAGAATGTGCTTTTGAATATTTTAGAATATTTCGTATTAAAATCTTCAATAAACATGGCATCATCATTTCAATAACGTTACTTTAGTATACAGATAAATATTCCCCAAAATTTATTCCAAACCTATTCTCCCCAAACTCATCTGCTGTAATATGCCAACAGGAGACTATTGAGTGTGTAGTGAGGTTTGTAGTAATATTGTTTAATTAGTGAAGGTGATTGAATATTATTGGTATTCTCTTTTATTCGGTGTTGCACTTTTGCAGACAGTCCCTAGCAATCGTTTCTTCCTCCGGGCTGCAGAAAGAGACCAATTTAATGTGGTCCGTTTTGGCCGTGAGGACAGCACGTATGGCTTTTTTTTTTATCAACAGTGTGATTGATAGTTCGTTGTCAACTTACCACGTACTTAGGAGACGTAATTTGTGTGCTGAACAACGTTTTGTTCAGAGTTATGATCCATGAAACTTGACTTTGAGATAAATAGGGGGAGCCCAAATCTTGACAGCTCCACACCGAGGGAGAGGCCTGCCGATGCGGAGCGTGAAGAGGCTTCATCAACGGCCACAGCCGCCGGCGAAGTGACACCGTCTGATCGAATCCTCGCTGCTGCGCCAGTCAACAGCGCATGCGTGTGATATATCTAGTAGCAGGATGTGCACTGAAAAATAGGGCTCCCCCGAAAGCAAATGGGTAATTCGAACACTGCCTATATATTTGCAGTAAGGACTATTTCATTCAAAGTCTTCAAAAGAATTTCACCCAGTAAATCAAATCTGTTCACTAATGTGTAATAGTTCATATTTTCTTAAAGCTGAAATGTTATTTCATGTCACCTCCACGGGGTATATTTGCAAATAGGCCACATATTGGAGAAGTGAAAGCAATGATTGAGGAAATGCAGCAAATAAAGAAGTCTGTCAAAAGGACAATGCTATCTTTAACCAAAGAAGGAACTTTCACATTAAGAGGGGTCAATTATGCACACTAAACCCACATCCTACGCACTGTCTAAAAAAGTCACTATTACACAATGATATACAGAAGATAGTTGTGTTTGAAGATCTTATTCACAGGCTGTCTGAATGACCTTAGATGAGTCAGTCTTATGGACTTCAATAACTGAGACAGACCCTGTGTGTTATCAGTGACGTCAATCCATTCAGAAGGAATGCAGACAAACGAAAGAGCATCCATTTTCTCAGTACCTTTTAGATTAGTGAAAATATTTATGTTAGTATTTTATCCATTTAAGAAATGTAGCATTAAAAGGTGTCCAACAATAGTCTTTCAAATCTTAACCTTGTGAGTTTCATACAGAATTGTTCTCTATCTGAAACAAAGGTTTAAATTGGCATTTTATGTGACAGCTTTTGCTAAACTAAATGAATGTGCTGTGTTGATGTAATTTGATACACATTGTACTCCTATTGTGACCTCAACCAATGTCACACTATGAAAAAGGATTTTTACAGACTGTATAAGTTTACCAAACAACAGCAAATTCTTACAGTAAATTTGAGTTTTCAAATACGATGTTGGCAATGGTACTACTAACATATTACTTATCAACCCAGAAAAAGTAGGATATTTCTGATGACTTATTTCTAGTTTTCCAAGTTTAACAATTTTATCTTACCAACGTGTTACTTTGGATTACTGTACAAACCTTTAAAAAAACTCAGATTAAAGCTCTGGATGCCCATAGCAGTTATCTTCCCATGGAGAGATAGTGCCACCTGACTAGGCGGAAGATATGCCCCTAGACTGGTAGAGCAAAGAGTACAACTATTTTAACTTTGGCCTTGATTGCGTCTGACCTTTCAAAGCAAAACAAATTAGTTATCATCTGCATGTGATGTAGCCAGAAGTGACACAAGGCTACAGGGGAGGGAACCATAGAAACAAAACCGACAGCTGCCAAGACTCTGGACCTTGCTTGCGGTGAGCAGAGGGAAAATGTTCTGAAAGCAGCTTTAAACCTGCATTCTTTTTGATTGCCAGCAGGTTGAACACCAAGGTTGCAAGTATTTTTGGAATTGGCTTTCAAGTTAATTTGACTACATTAATGATGGATGTACCCAACTAGTCTTGCTAGCAATAGCATTAGCTAGTGACTTAGCGAGCCTCGCTCATCTACCATCTCCTTCAAATATGGTCACTGCCGGGTTTTTTTTCTCCAAAAAACAATATGGGGCGACACAATTCCACACAAGAGGCATACAAATAGCATCAAAAATCACATCACTGCAACAACATCCAATTATTTTATAAAGTGTACGATTGTACTACTTTCTTAAGACTGAAATCTATGTTTTAATGCAATTATTAGAAATAATTATACAAAACATTTGACCAAAGTCAATGAAGTTTTCAGTGAGAATGAATGAGTATTTGTGCATTGTCCACAGAGGGAAGACCAGGTTTGACCTGAGGGTTACATGCAGGTGTTTGCTCCACCCAAAAAACATCTCCATAATGAAGTACACTGTTGAGCCCAACATTTGGGCCTCATGACAATCAATATTTGTGAAGAGAAACTGAGGTAGGGGACGAAATGAGATTCCAACTCCTGTCAGTATGCTTAACTAATTGGTGTAATTGGTGTGCAGCTCCATTTCCACCCCAACCATCAGAGTACATCATTAAAACTCCTTAACCTGAAATGGCTTTAGGAAGACGTTTCTCATATCTATTGAGAATGCAATCACAGAAATTGATAGCAAGGATGCCAGTTTGAAGTCATGTTAAGGAGCTGTAACAATTCAGTTTTGAATTTGTTTAACTCTTCTGTCTCTATGTTGCTTCTTATATAAATAGTAGCTCATCCTGAATGAATCAAATCATGGTTGGACATTTTCTTAGAAGACAATAACTACCCTTCTTGCCTAGCTTAATACAATATTTAATCAAATCAAAGCTAAGCTAAAGAGTAGCAAGTCTTGAATCTTACCCACAATTGCACAGTTCATTGGACAGCAAGCACAGGAAAATCAACGGAACCGTATAGGACCTGGACTGGGCTGAACTATAGGAGGAATCTGGGTCATACATATCACCTCGTCAAAACGAGAACAGGCCATCCAGCTGACATTCAGACGGTGCCTGCAGCAGTTTGGAGCTTTACTGTGAACTGATGCAGAAGAGTGGATTCTAAAAAGGGAGAATTCAAGTCACTCCAGTGCAGGATACGTAGGACACTAAGAGTCAGGAAGACGGGGGCGAGTGTGGTTTGCCTAAACTGACTTAAGGGTGAGCCATTCATTTATAAAATTACTGTCATCTGGAAATGAACCCTGATAATATTATTAAATCACCATTAGAAACTCAGCAAATCAAACAGACAAAAGTGGAAAAGCTGATGATGCTGTTGGCCTGTGTAGCCAGACACCAGACTAATGAAAGTTAATTGGAGGATACAACACTAATAAGGTCTAACCTCCTATGAGTCAAACTGGATTTGAATAGAGCAAGCCGGTCAAGAGGAGACATTGTGACGGACAACACCGTAATTAGAATTTAAATAAGGATCAATTGTGCTGGCAGTGCAGTACTCACGGCTGGGAGTGCGCTGTCTCGTAGCGCTCGAAAGCGTGGCTCAGGTCGTGCTTGTTGTTCATGTAACACTGGGTGCACAGGTCATAGTCGAAGCACACCTTGCACTTCCATCGCATTCCCATGATGCCGTGCTTCTTGCAGCTGTCACAGATGATATTGGAGTGACGCACGCCTGCAGGGGAAGGGGAGGTTGTTGGAGAAAGGTGAGTGGGGCTATGAATTTAACATGGCTGAGGTTGCTATAGTGCAAGTGAAGCAGTGAAGGCATACGTCATGTCCGCACTACTTATCACAGCGGCTCATATCATGGGATGTGGAGGATCCAAGGCACAAACATGATGACAAAAATACCCCCACCCCCTCATCCCTTCTCTTCTTGCGCTCCATTAACTGAAGGGCAAGCTTCTGAGGCAGAACAATTTCGCTTTAAATGGAGCAAAATGGTAATGAGCCCTGCATTACTGTATGTGTCATTTGAGTCCAGTATAGAGCTTAATGGCTAATGTATAGAGATACGTACCAAGCCCAGTGTTTCCCACAGATCTGAAATCTACTTGGGGGGGGGGGAGGCTGAGATGCCTACTCAGAATGGGCTTTGTGTGCGAGTTAATGGATGATCGCTTGTGCTTGGAAATTCTGGATTAACTTTGCTTTCGGTAGAGTTTCAAACCCTATAGTCAAATTTCAAAGACAATGACGTCTGATAAGGTTAAGGCATGGTTCTCGGAGAGCTCATTTTAAGGTCCCAAATTCTCACTGGAAAATGTCTTTGTGATCAAGAGCATGCAAGCAGCTGCAAATTAATTGAAAATATAGGCTGCATAAATGTATTGGATATCAAACGTTGGAAAATGTTGGAAGGTTGGAAATGTGTTTTTCATGTAATATAACCAAATCTATTTTCAGGTTTTGAAACACACGCATCTTTAACATTTCAAATCTGAAAAAAAAATAACCCTAGCCTTCTAGCTTACCGATTTGAGCGTTGTCATAGAGCAGCAGGTCATAGGAGCCCTGGTAGCCAGTGCGGTAGTTGGTTCTTGTGCCGCTGTCCCACTGCACCACCACCGTCTTGTCTGGTGTAGTAGTGCTGCCCTGCCGCCCGATCTCCACTACAGCGCCCAGGTGGCCCTCGCCGTCATCCTGGTTACCCCATTTCCAGTCCAGACCACGCACCACGCGCATGCCCACCTCCATGCTGCCTCTGCTCGGGCCCGGCCTGGGGGCTGGGCGCAGCGGCCGGGGCCTGGCAGCGCTGTTGCTCCCGCTGTTGCTCCCGCTGTTGCTCCCGCTGCTGCTGCGCCTCCGCGGCTTCTGAGGGGCGGGGCTGGCCCGCGCCGACGATATTGTGGGCAGGGAGGGCACCAGGGGTGTATCCGGGAACAGGTCAGGGGTCACTGGAGGTAAGAAGAGATGCAAGTTTAATGAAAATGTGGAAACTGAAAGCAGGAAAGTCACAGATACTGCATTCACAAATAAAGTAGAGGAATGGGTTTCAAAGTTATGATAAGTGCTACGCGATATAAATAACTAATTTTGATTATTTTGACAGATATTGCAATTATGATATAGGAGGGATTGATTTGTATTCATCATTCTCATTGTAAAATATATATAACTTTGCAGCCCATCAATACTTCATTCAGAATACCATTCATCAAATATTATACTTTGTCGATTCGAATATTGCACTGTCCAAATTTAGTTTTAATGGAATAAATATTTCAAGGCATTAATCTGGCAATGGTACATTTTGGGTTATTTCCACAGCCTTTTAGACAAAGGAATCACGCCACCTGTGTCTGACTACAAGTCTGTGAGTGGCTGATGAGGGACTCAAAGCAACACGCCATATGTCTCATTAATTTCAGAGCTGTGTTCTCCCTTTGCTGGTGGATCATTCACTGAAGGCCTCGCTGTGTTTCATGGCACATTGCTGGAGAGCAGCTGGACGCCACTGCTCCAATAAAGCCCTGACCCCACACACACACACACACACACACACACACACACACACACACACACACACACACACACACACACACACACACACACACACACACACACACACACACACACACACACACACACACACACACACACACAGTAACTAAAGGTATCCACATGACATGTATCTACTAGTGTTTTTAATGAAGGCCACTAGGTGCTATAGAAACAAGAACTAATAGAGGAAGCGACATTTATGTGGTAGCTTGAGTCAGCGATAATATAGAAAGAAACTTTGCTGATGAGCATGACCATCAGCAGACATCCAATCACATCCATTAATCACACATGTGTCAGAAGTATATTTGTATACACTAGTGCAGTGTTCCATCTCCACCGTTACACTTCTAAACAAGACATTAAACAAGCATAAAGCAGTCTTTGTTGACACTGCAGTGCTATTTCTGTGCCTAATGATACAACTAAATCCTCTTTGTGAGCTTGCAGAAAAGTTAAACTGCAGCCTTGTAGAACTGAAGGACAGAACGTAACATTGTCAATATGTACCAAGAACATAACTAAAGCTTTTAGATTACGGCTCAAAGACAGCACTTTTTCTGCCTGTGTTAATGTGTTTTTGTGTTTTAGAAAAGAAGCAAGTTCACTGAAGAGATTTGACATGTGCACAGTAACACTAACCCTAACCCTAAAAAAGAAAGTGAAGCAAATATCCACATTTTTGTTTCACAAGCATTGACACCAATGTCCACTTTCTAGCAATAGCAGGGCAGGGCTATCAGTGTTGGAAGTTGATATAATTGATCTATAAATGATGGTTTGGACAGGAAACTTTTCAATAAGTAATCATTGTTTTAAAGACAATCCATATTTGTTTAAATATAGCCTTAATATCGACAAATACCCTGCATTTATGCTGTGATTTTCATCCGATAGGACTATTTAGCTTAAAGGCTGGTGGTTCAGGCATAGGGTTCAAACTTTCAATAATAGGATGGGCAGATGTCTGTAATGTGGAGGAGATTACACTTGCACGCTTATCAAGATTACAATGTCATTTGGGTATTAAAGGCATCTGCTTAAGCAGGAAAACATATGGGATGTAGGGGATCAAAAGGAAGGGAAGCTGGCTACTTATACTTCCATTTTCTGTCCAAGAATGACAGCTTAGTCTCTTTTATGCACGGAAATAATATCCTGGCCAATCATCCGACATTCCAGCATGCAAACTGAGGAGCTGTCACAGGCTTTCACGCAGCTCCTGCAGCATTCTGGGTGTGGATGGATGAAGAATAGCCAAGTTGGTTTATGAGTTATTCACAATACAATCTAAATGGATTTCTCTCTGACCTAAAAACAATACAAGATGGGAAGGGTATTTTGTTTAATAATTCCCACAACCTAAAAAGGCTCACTTAACATTTGCGGTAAAGTATGACCACAATGTAGCATCCTAGATTGAGGAACTGTTTTGCAGACAAAGAAAAAAAAACAGAACCTACCGCCTACATTAAAAACACACACCCACCATTAACCACATCACCATTACCGACACCACCAACTCCCACACTGTGGTTTCCAGAGAGGCCAAACACACCGATATCTAATCACTATCGAGTACACCAAGACCGGTACTGACAAGTAGATGCAACACAGGGGATTTAGGGGATGACTCTACCTACACAACAAGAATCAGGGACACTTAGTGTTACTGTAAGCTTTTTTCTTCCTCTCTACAACACCACGTACAAATGGACACCCCAGAAAAAAAGCTCTAGCTCCATTTGGCAAAAACATTAAGTAAAAAAAGACTCTTATCTTCCTAAATCTCATTGCACGTGAGTTCTGTTGACAGATGGTCACTGCTAGAGAATAAGAATGAATCCAAAAGTTGTATCCTAAACAGCAGAGAGCGATTACTACATACCAATAAAGCTCTTGCCTCTAAAATGTGGGGCCGCCAATGTATAAAGTAATGCACACTTAAATCGCAACTCAGCAGTTCTATAGGGAAGAACATGATTTGGTAAAAAATAGCTACTTGTGATTATTTTTGAGTGATATGGCAATTGAGATATGATTTGTAATGTAAGAGAGAATGACCATTTCAGAAAGATATTCAAAGATGATAATTGAAAAATATACTAACATGATCATGGTGTGTTTTTTACAAAAGGGTCTGTACCCAAACAAGGATTTTAAGTAGGATTCTGTAGAATACCGTTTGTAGGCCGGGACTTCTTTGCAGCACCACGTTACATCAGCCATATAGTTCCCATATTTGGTAAATCGCCTACGGAAATTTCGTTATTGTCCTAGTTGGTATATCCATTTTGATAACATTCAAATGAATTGTGTAGCCCTAGTAGAAAGCTTTCAATGTGATTGTTCTTTATGTTTTAGAAGTACATTTGTGGGAACAAAAACACACACTTGTGGTCTGAACATTGTGGACTCTAGCTTCAATCTTATGTGTTTACTTGTGCATTTCCATATCTAATATGAAATTGTTATCTGCAGTAACAAGAAAAGGCTTACAGTTCAGACTTGTATCATCAAATTTGACCCCTAATAACAACAAAAGCAATTTCACCCGAATAAGTACTAAGCGTAACCTGGACTCAGTCGAGCTGGACTAGAAATCAGATGATGGAAATCGTAAAGATGGGACAAATCACAGTTTTACAGATTTTGATCACTGAGGGCTGAGACAGCAGTATTACTGCTCTCTGCCTGCAATAACAGATGGGCTGACTTCTATCATACACACTGCTGAGGGCCAATCTGGGAGGGCAACATCAACCTCCTTTACACAAACAACCAGACAGGCGTTTGGCCACAGCACAGATAGACACACACCGTAAACAAATGATCAAAGACTGCTCCAGAATATTATGCAATTTCCATGAAGTAGAAGTATTTTTCTGCTGTAAACTGCAATCAATATGGTTTTAGAGATCCATATACTGTTGGCGATTATATTGCAAAACACTTTATATTTTAGGTTAAAAAAATGTTTTTTAAATCAAATTATAGTCAAAAAATGTTATTGTTCTTGTAATTTCCATATAAAAAATAAAAAAAGTCACTGTTCATAATGAATTGTACCATTTTGTACCAACTGGAAAGGGTCAATCAAACTGCATACTTTATACACTACAAAAACATGGGATTTAGTACGTTTTCCAATGTGCACATTAAAAAAACAATGAATCTGTGATGAAATTGTGCATCACAGACTGTTTGGTTGGTCGTGATTAAACAACATGTTTAAGAGTCAATATCAGCGCACGTGTCACTGCTTCAGGTTAAGTAAGGTAGTCTTACATAGGGCACATGGGCATAGGCTATTTACCAAGGCTGCTGGTTTTACTACGCAGATAAAATATCTCATAATTGTTTACGCAGCATGGCAGGCAGACCAGGATCTGCACACTGATAAAAAACAATGAGACTCATTTTCAAGCAGCAGAACCTTGCCTTGTGTCCTGTGACACGTGGTGTGACTGGATTATATCCTCTCTCTAAAGTCTAATAAGAAGAGGCTGTTTGACTGTGCATATTTCTACATATTACTTCCACTGGACCTAAACGCTAAGCAAAGTTCAATCCTGGCAAAGGCTCTCGGGCTTTACCCTTAATATCAGAAATGAGAAACAGCCTGCTGGAACTGGTTCGTGTCAGAAACATCTGGTGGCTTTCTGGAAAATCAATAAGGACCCCAAGTAAATAACACATTTACAAAGATGTCTTCAGAGGGGGCAACAGGCCTAAAATTAGACTTTTTCCATTTCAGGCTTCTGCTTGTCTTAGCTTCTTTTTCTCAAATCCTAGTCCCTGTGTACCGTGGAAAATATCTCATAATGATCGCATCTAAGAAACTTCAACATCTTCACATGTTTGTCTTCAGCCTTGTCCTCAAGCATTCTTACAAGCTTAATGGCAACGGATTTGAAAGCAACTTGATACCAGCAGAAATCTTCCTATCAGCAAGCTTTATCCCCTGAGCCTTCAACAAAAACTCAAACCACAGCAAACCCACGATACTCTAAAAGCACTTGCTGTACGACCATATCAGATTATTGTGGGATAGCATACTCACGCCCAATGATCTTAAGTCCACTTTTGAACATGTTAAAAGCTGTAGGATTCCAGTTCTCTGTGGAATGGCAAGCTTTGCAATGCTGCTATCCCGGGTCAACCAGCAGGACCATCTGAAGTCCTGAGCACTATGCAGCAGTCATCCTACTGACAGGGGGGAGTGAACCCTTCCTGGCTCAGTATTTGGTTTGCTGTGAACTTTGCTCTTTGTTTTGGAACATGTAGTTCTATTCTCCTGAGCTTGGTTGATTTTTTTTGTGTCTGACAGATGTTGCTCAAGGTCTGCCTGGTGCCTTATCTTAAAAAAGGAATTAAATAAACATAATGGCTGGAAAAGGTATTTAAAGTGCTTATCTTACAAAGGACTGTGTTTCTGGTAATTACATCACTTTGTATAGTAATGGGGCATTATCATATAATCGGTAGTGGGAGGAAGCTTTACATCTCTTTGGTTTGCTAGGCTCATTTCTTGTAAAAAAAAAAGAGCTTATTTAACAGTTGTAAATCAGTCCTGTGTTACATGTCAAGTCGTACATTATTTCAGAAGTCATTATTGAGTGAAATACTTTATCGCAAAAACGCGATAGTTCCAATGTTTTGAAGAGTGATATTTGAGATACTTTGTGAGAGTATATTTCTACAGTAGATGGTGGTTGGGACACGGAAGCCAACAGGAAAACAGCACTAAAGCTATTCAATGTATTGCTGTGGACAAGGGCAACAGCAAAACATATTTATTTTAGGGGCCCGGCACACCTACAATTGATATCTATTTGAGTGTATGCGATAGTTCAATATTTCCTCTGCTTTAACCCGAAGTCTTTATTTATGCCCTCACCCAAGCCACCAGACTCCATTGATAAAACAGTGATCTTACCAAGCGGAACACAAGAGTAGATGGTCTACCACTACCAGTAAACTAACATAGTCAAGCAGTACTGTCTTTGTCAATGGTGTCTGGTGCTTTGAAAATATCATATACTGTATAGCAGGTTCAGTTTAGTCAGAAACAGACTGCAAGTTAAAGCTGGGAAAAAATACAAAATATAATACATTTAAAGATATATTGGGTTTTTTAGGATTCAACAATATGTTTTGCTGCTGGCCACATCCACCACTTATTTTCCTGGCTGTTATCCCTATTTATTTCTCAAAAATGAGGGCATACTTTCCCTTAGAGCTCTCTATCCTATTTTGTTTTAATTAACCAGACTCAAACATATCAATCAGTCTCATCTACTCTGCTCCTGGATAGGATCATTTCATTCAGTGCCTGAAGATGATCGTCAATCAAGTAATCTGAGCGACGCAATCACCCACCTTAATTGAATCTTACACTACCATGATAACATCCTTTTGATATTGATTCTCACAGCACTGTGGGCATTGTCTGCATCAAGCACCTTATGCTGTGATAGCTACTCAAATAAGCCTGGGGAAATATATATGCTGTATTTGGGCTACCTCCAATAAATAATCTACATGTTAAACCCAAAACTATTGCACAACACTCAGATCACCTTACGCAAAGGTCACAATATGTTTTGCTTTTTCGATCGTCACCAGTCTGTTACACAAACAGGGATAGCGTCGGCAGCTAGATGTATGCCTGCATGCTTAGCACGTCACTAGCTTTACTACAGATTGCAATGACATGTGGCACAATTGTAGTAGCATGGTCACGAACGTATGGCTGCCTACCGACCGTGTTGTGTTTGCACATGATCCTATTACCCTTCTGAGACAGTGGAATCAGCTAATTTGAAAACGCTATTGGAAGCAGCCATATTTAATTTAAGATGAAGGACATGGCTTATCTTCATAAGATTCCCAACTGACATAAAAAAGAATATGCTGCTCTATATGCTAAAATAAGAACAGCACCCTTACATGGATTCCACTGTCTAACAAGAAATACGTGCTAGGATTACCAAAATAGTAAAGACGGAAACTGCATCTCCTGATAAATAAAGCATGTCCTGTTTAGCTGGTTTACCTGTTGGTATATTGATGTGCAGAATGGTGAATAGAGAGGCCGACAACAATAGGCAAGGAGAGGAAGCAGCTCCAACCTCCTGCTACCAGCGGTTCAACCAGCTTCCAGTGAGATAAAAAAAACGCCTCCTCAGGGCTGAAGCGCTGTTCTGATGCTGCACTCCCTGAATGAACCTGCCGACGAGGATGAGGAGGAGTGGATACAGGGGGTGGAGGAGGAGGAGGGCAGCCAGGCCGGTATTCCAGAGATGTGATATACAGCCGCTCTACAGAAACAGCGTCCTACAGGCTGACTGTAACGGATCAGAACTGGAGGAGGGAGAGGAGAGAGCCCTGATGCTGGAGGATGCAGCCAGCATTGAGTCCTTTGTGGGTCGTGTCAGCAAGGATTACCAGGGTGAAGGAGGCAGAGAGAAGCGGAGAGGGAAGAGGATGGCCGGGGAGAGCGGCTGCCCGACAAGCGCCGCATTCAAGTCGACGTTCCCCTTCCTCTCACATGAAAACAGGCCAGTGGGCTGTGCTCCGCATTAGACTCCTCTGACGCTACATCCCATCACCAAGGACACCAAGTGTCAGTAACACGCATGTTAAGCAGACACACTGTGTTTACTGATCAATATGTACAAAAACATGCGCATCAAGCTCCACATAAGGATGTACAGCCCTCTCTGCTGCCAATGAGCAGACAAGCAGAGGACAGAGGGAAGGGGGGGAGGGGCAATATGTTTTTCGGGGGAGGGTCTGGATGTTGCATTTTTTTTTTTTTGGGTGTGTGTGCACGGGAGGGGGGGTTCAGGGAAAAAGGAAAGGGGTGGGGCTGGAGGAGGTTTTTGATGAATGGGAACCTGCCATGATCCTCCTTTTTAGCAGCAAACTGGCAATACCAGAGTCTCCTGCAGGCTCACACAGGTAGGAGGAAAAAGGGAGTGTGTGTGTGTGTGTGTGTGTGTGTGTGTGTGTGTGTGTGTGTGTGTGTGTGTGTGTGTGTGTGTGTGTCCAAATGCTTTAATATCCTTAAACAATGCTCTAATGCTTCTAATTTAATGTGTCCACAGCTGTGGGAGACCCCACCAATATGGAAGCCAAAAAAAGCGTCTGGCTGGCACACATGGATGTACAGCTGGTGGAGCCAGGACATGAGCGGTAGCAAATGAATAAACGTGGGGGGGGGGCTTAGGGAAGTGTTTGAGACACGGGTTTATAATGAAAATTAAGTTTATTACACCACCATCGCCGTGTTGAAAACAAAGCTGCTGCTGTCTGCGTGATGGACTTTTTAGCCTACATCATACAAAGGAGGGCATTCATTCATAGAACACCTCTTCAAATAAATAGTGACATACAGTCATCTGACCGAAAAATATGGCAAAATCCTTGTGAATTCACACAACACTCAACATGTCACCCTCTACCCCACGACATCAATCTAATCCGAACTCCTGCTTCAAATGTAGGTGTTGCTACTGGAACCATTCCTCTATCAAACTGCTGCTACAGGCACCGAATATTCTCACAGAGATCAATGACGTTAACTCAGTCTATATTAAACCGGATGACTCTGAAGTGCTGACTCTCATGGCAGCACAACACGTTGCAACTCAAACTGTAATCTTTGTAACTATTACAGGACTGGCATGTGGCCCGAGGGGGTTAGTCTGAATCCTCAGTCCAGCTGGGAAGATCTTGGTAGGGAAACTAGGGCTGTTTATTGGCCATATGATACGCATCATGATACAGGGGTTAGCATTGGAATATTTGGATATTGTAAGCAAGGCGATATATTTAGATTTCTTACATCTTATTTTAGGAAGACTGAAATTGTATAACGAAAACAATCATAGAATCTCATTTCAAACAGAGGGATCTGCTTTTGCATTTATCGCAGTCCCTCTAACATCCAACATCATAGCACGACTGTTAGTGTAAGCTGGGCCTTTTATAAACATTTTAATCAATGGTTATTGTTTGACCTTTGTTAGTTTAAAATCACCAAAGTCACACATAAACTCAAACAAACTAACCAATGAAGGCAGTGATAAAGCAGCAACTCTTGGGCGCTGCAAGTCTGGTGGCTTTGGCTAAAGCTGCATATAAGGGCTTTTGTCCCCTTTCCATAGTGTGCAGGTCTATGTCTGGTCTCAAAGTAACACACTGAAACATTTCTAGATTTGGAGTTTATTTGGTTGGCCTTTGAATGTGGCTAAAATGTTGCTGCCCCAAGTCGGTGCCCTTACTGTCTTCCTCTCCAAACTAGAAGCAAGCAGAACTTCTTTTGACTGTGGGACCTGGTTATAAACTCACTATGGATAACTACCTCATACTACCCCACTTCAAAACATCCAAGCCATCCCTTTAAGATAACATTTTGAAATGCCTCAAATACCTTAGCTTAACAACTAAATATTGGCCATCAGTGTCATCCAGTAGAGATAACATGGATATGAAGGGTTTTTTCTGATACATAATCATAAAATGTAATCAATATCACTGGTTGTTTTCTTAGACTTTAAACTTGAGTCGAAAAAGTGCCTCAGGTTGCTTTTCCACTCCAAGAGAAATGACTGGAAAGTTGACTAGTACAAAATGATCACAGCCATTGGCTATTAGGCAAAAATGCTGCGTCCTGCTTCATCAGTCAACAACATTGGTTTTGGCTTGCGGCTATGCATGTTGGTTACATTAAAAACCATCAATTCACTGTGGTGACAGGCAGCCGCTGTCAAGCTCCACGTTGGAATATCATGCCAACCTGTCAGCCAGGAATGCTTTTTTTTCCCTTTAAATTATAGTCAGGTCATTTTCTTCATAAACACACTACATGTTTAAAGAACGAGCTGGAAACACAGTTAACATTCTGAGACTAACCAAAAGCTGCTATACACCAAAAGATGGATTCTTTACTATTTGCTTTTGTGCTGCTTAAACAACCACAATGTCCCTTCTGGGGATCAGTAAAAGCTTAAATTATCTTATCACCTAGTTTTTAGTTATGGTGTCCATTAATTCTATTTGAATACATCTTTTAAAATATGCCCTATCCATAGAGTATGGAGGATTGTGTAAAAGTTATTTTCCTTGCAGCCTTAAACTGCTAAAAAGAAACATGTGTGGAGACAAATGCGTACCAAGTATTTATGGGAAACCACTAAAATACAAACAGATCAAAACAGGCCCCACACTACTAAAGGCTGTTTTTACACAGTGTACCTTCAAATTACCGACACAGAGATAAACACAGACTTAACCCTTCACCAAAAGTTATCCCAAGTGTTTAAAACTCTTACCTTGAGACTTCCCCCACAATATTTTCCCCATTTCTTCTCAATTGCAATCAGCTGTTCCCCTCTGCTTCTCTAAAACACAAGTCATGTCTGTGTTGTAAGCCAGGGAGCATTTCACGCTTAATTATTGTGATTAAGATTTGAGGAGCCCACAGCCAAGTGTGGACAACAAGACAAAGAAACAGCAGATGACTGAAATTTTGTTACCAAGTAGGTGTGGCTGAGAGCAATCCTGACTATGTCCAGTTGTAGTTCCAGAGTGTGTGTGTGTGTGTGTGTGTGTGTGTGTGTGTGTGTGTGTGTGTGTGTGTGTGTGTGTGTGTGTGTGTGTGTGTCAGCTGCTGCTGAGCTCTGCTTCATCACTACCAAATGACCAGAAAGATGACAGGTGTACAGGGTTAGGGGTTGTGTAACAGCGACAGCCCTCCAGCATAGTGTCATAGTCCTTTCATTTCAGCTAAGCAGGTTGCCGGTAGACACAGGAAACAACTGCAGGCAACTGTTCCTCACAGTCTAACCTTTTTCCTATCATTTTTAAATGGGTTTTATTGTGCTCCGTATAATGGTTGACTTTTTTAGCATACAGGTGACAATAACAGTTCCTACCATCCAACAAATATAAAGTACAGACCTGTTGTGGATAGTACATTTACTTTAGTACTGTACTCAAGTACAATCTTAAGGTATTTGCACTTCACCTGAGTATTTTCAATTAATCTTATTTTTACTCCACTACATTTTGGAAGCCAAAATTGTACTTTTTATCCAACTACATTTATTTGACAGCATTAACATCTGTGTCATCGTGGGTTAAGTTTTTTTGGTTACTTTTCAGATTACAAGCTAATAAATCATATAAATCCATGATTAAATAAATATTGACATAATAATAGGTTATGATGTTCAGAAGAATAAAATGTTATTTAAATTAGCTCAACATGTAACAGCTGTGATAAAAACACTAACACATCATAATCCAGTCATTTAATACAATTCTGAAACGGACCATTACGCATAAAATGTAGCGAATTGGTACACGAAACTCAGGTTTATTCAAACGTAAAACCACCTCAAATGTCAGTTTCTTAAAATTAGGACACGTTTCATCTCCAGTGAAAGTGAAACCCAGCTGGGGGGGTCACATGTAAATGCATCATAAGCCACAAATATGCTATAACATAAAACAATACTCTAGTTATTAATATTTTTGATTAAATAGAGAATGGAATGTTGCAAGGCTGTATACTACGGGAGGACGGTGGGATTATTGCGTACTACTAGCTTGTCTAACATTGACGCTAGCTAGCTAACCCATGTTTGGCCATCCTTTATTGGTATAAAAACAACTTATATTACGTTGAGGCTACTTACCGGGCCTTTGTCAGGAGTGTTCACTTTGAGGTGAAATACATGTCCATGTCGCTGTCCGCCACCGACCCTGACATGGCTTGTTTTAGGACAAATAAGTATTTTACGGTACTAAATTGAAAGGTTTTGCAGTGCACACTGCACAGCCATGACAACACGCCCATGCATTGCGTCACTACTAATGCTGCCTTCATGTACTCCTCGTAATAAACACAGTTCTGAGTTCAAGTTTGATTTTAAGTAACAGAATAAAATCTCAGGTAGACAAGCATGTTTTGCTACAATACTGTTATAGCGGTAATTGGATGTACGGTATCTTGTTGCATATGCATTTTCAGTGTGATAATGAAACGAAATAAGAGCATAAGAAAAACTATTTATAAACATTTGTACAAAACAGTCCATCAAATAGCTATGTTACTGTTCTGAATTCTCCTTGAATAGACATAGTGGAACAATGACCCTAATGATGGCTCCGTTCTATTCCAAGTATCCCAGTGAGCGTGAGAATGAGCCAGCATTAACACAACCTGAATCCTGAAATGAAAGCAGCTAAATGGAATGCAGCCTATCATTAATTTAATGATCTACACCTGTGCTCTCCTACTGTGAAAGAGTGAAAGAAGGCATGGTTTTATTATTAATTTGTAATGGTATTTTCTAAAGCACAGACAAAGGCGGATGTCAAAAGTGTTTATCAGAATTGTAATTAACTATTAACAATCTGTACAACATGGGAGTGGCTATTTCTAATTTTCAATTAATTCAGCGACTTAGGGTTGGGGGTGGAAACCTATGCACCCACAATTATTAAAATGAAGCTTTTCTATTAAACATTATTAAAGTATTAATTAACGTTTACAAGAAGCAGTGAAGGAATAAAGGACAATGAATAGGACACAATCTATAGATGTATACAGCTCCTCAGTATTATTGCTCTAGTTTTCTAATAACTTCTGAGATAACACAAAATGACACTAACATTAGAATAGAGTATTTTAAAAAAAATGGTCCAACGTAAAGAGAAGTTTTCAGTTGTGGTATATTTATAAAGGTTTTCAAACATTAAAAACACATTTATATAATTACTTAAATGTATTTATTATTAAAACAAGTTAATTTTACTAATAATTGAACATGTTAACCTATATCTTGATGCAATGTTCAGACCAATACTGCCCCCTGCTGACGAATGCCATGCTGCACAGATCTAGAGGGTTTATTTTAAAGACTGTAACTTTGATTGAAATATATATATACATATATATTTATATATATATATCATGTTGCTTTATGGGCTACTTGACCTATATTGGCTCAATTCAATGACTCAGTCGTATTTGTAACAAATAAAACAAATATACAATGGCGTACAACTTGAGAGAATGAAATACACAGGAACAGGTCACAGAGGTTTTAACAAAACTAAAGTAGATTAAATGTTGTGTCTTCTACAAGGAAGTGTCATTATAAGTGGTAACTTGTGGACAAAGAACATATTGTAGAGCTTTGTCATTGAAGTATGTATGCTGCTTGTATCCCTCCATCTACACACAGGAAATGTCTTTGTGAAGGAATATAAAGGTTGCAATGAGGCAGTAAAACAATGGCCTATATTTTTTGGTTGAACAAAAATAACTTCTATTCCACTGTGCTATTTATAACCCATTTGGATGGAGATCAAAGTGCTGCTTTATCCCAATTTAGAATGTAGTGACTGTGGAAATCAGAAGTGATTTGAAAGCGTTTAATTCATTTGTCATTAAACATCAGTTCGCATGTTATATTGTATATCAAATTCATTTTGGCTGAAAGAAATGTGCGAGTGAGCTTTATTATAATCCAATCAAAGAAAAATGACAATGAGCAATTGAACAGCTTGGACCGTGCAGAGTAGTGTATTTCATTTGATTCATTCATGTTTTTTAGGCACCAGCAACAAAATATGGCAACTGCAAGTTTATTGTCTGGCTGTTGACGATAAAAATGTTTCCTAGCTCTAAAAAAAATGACAATGACTGTTACCAACACATTACAGCAGGCTTAATACTGAACAAAAACAACAGCTGATTATGCCTTCAGTGTCAAAGATGTGAACCTAAACTAAAACTGTTCAACATATAAATGTCAATAAATTAACGCAAGTGAAAGCCCTCAGATAGCTCTGTACAAATACAAAGGTACATGAACTAGTCTGTATTAAAATGACAAAATGTGAAGATATCAAATCTAGTTCAATCACAGTGAGGGCAGGCTGCCGGGAGGGGCCAGAATGATCCCGAACACGTAGAAAATTCCCATGAGGAGGTTGAGCTTGGCCGTCTTCTGGGGAATCTTGGCGTAGCATCGGCTGCGGAAATGCTTCTCCAGGGGGAAGGCCATGGGCAGCGTGAGCAGCGGCAGCGCCATGCTGATGGTGTACCGGGTGGCCAGGAGGCAGAAGAGCACGTAGGGGACGAAGAGCAGTATGTTGTAGAGGACGTAGGACAGCGTGGGGCCGATGAGGATGGCCAGCGTGACGATGCCCGCCTGCTTGTCAGAGTCCATGTCTCTGGTGTTATTGCTGTGCAGGATGGCTTCCGTGTTTAGGGCAAGAGGGATGGCGTACACCAGCGGCAGCACCGACAGGTAGCCCACCTGCACCGCGTGCGAAAACATGACCGCCAGCGGGCCGAAGGTGATGAGGATCACCACGTCTCCCAGGGCCACGTACTTGAGGCCAATGCCTGCAGAAGACAAGTAAACAGAAGACACATTTAACCTTTTTATTTGTGTTTGTTAACAAGGAGGCACCAAAACCTGGATGTAGAGGCGTAGTGTTTATTTTCACTTCCTCATTTATACTTTGAAGTTCCATAAGTACAAATCCAGGCATTCAATAGTCATTTATGGTACAAATTAGCCTCAAAAACAACTACACTAATACTAAAAAAATAAAAAAATCTATCTTGATAAGTCCCTTAATTAGTGGTGGAATGTAACCAAGTACATATTCTGTAAGTCAAAGTGTGTGTTAATTATGATATGAGTGTTTCCATTTCATACCACTTTATGCGTCTACTCCACTACGTCTATTGTGGAAATATTGATTATTGATACAAATATGTTTTTTTTTTTAATACATTTATATGTATTATTAGAGATTAAACTACACAGCAAGTATTACATTGTATTAACAGTTAGTAGGCGCAACATTTACATGATGAATAATGATATTCTTTCTGAAAGAGTTTGAATGCAGGACTTGTATTTATAACATTGTATTTCTACACTTTGGTATTACTATTTTAACTTTAGTAAAAGATCAGAGTACTTTATTCACCACTGCCCATAATGCTTTAAATATGGTCTTTTAATTCTTCCTGCTAAACTACTTCTTTTAAAAACTCCACAACCCCAGGATGAAATGCAGGGTTAGATCATATTTGTAGATCTAAAAAGCCCAAGCTGAAAATAACCCTAGTGACATAATTATTGTTACAAAGTACCATAGAATAAAACCATGTTGTTTTCACAGGTTGAGTAGACAGGTCAAACTGAACGTTATTTGCATCAGTGCAATACAGTTCCCCTAGGACTTTTTAAATAAACCAAAATAAATGTTGCCCTGGATTGCATCGGATCATTTGAAAATGATGCATTATGTTTTGCTAAATAAAATTCTTCACACCATTCATAGGGACTCGAATTGCACTTCACTTTACGAAGAAATGTAACACATAAGGGACAAAAATACACCGACTGCCTAAAAAAGGCGTAAAACAACCGACCCTTTGGTCCCATCACATGACAGTGACCACTTCCATGGCTCCAGTCCATACACAAGGTTTTTACAAATCAGCCTGGTGCCACCAACATCGTTTTGAAATGCCACTTATAGGTTCTCTGAAATAGTCCCAAGATATTCATGGCAATATTTTACTCACCTCCAGTGTATAAAAAAGAGCTGGACAATCCCCCGAAGTAAATAAGGGCTAAGTGTTCCAGTCTGAGTGTTGACAGGAAATAGAGCAGAGTGGCACACAAGCAGCCCAAAGAGTACAACAACGCTCCGAACATGACAACATCCTGCGGTGCCAAGATCTCGTCCACCAGAGTCCTATCATCACTCTTCTTGTGGTCAATCCCTTTGGAGAAGTCATAGTAGGTGTTCACGAGGTTCCCCGCCCCGTGGACCACGAGGACGGTCACCGCGCACACCATGAGGATGACCAAGTCCACGGAGCCCTCCAGCTTGTACGCCAAGGCGCCGCCGAGGGCCACCGGTGTGAGCGAGGCGCTGAAGCTCCACGGCCTCAGGGCCAGCACGTAGGCTGCACACTTGAGCCTCACATCGGAAGCAACGCGGGACATCCTGGACTTGTGGTCAGAGCCCAGAGGATGGCTGAAGTCACTCAGACCGGTCTGCCATTGTTGGCCATTTTGACCATTCGATCCAGCCAGCACATATGTCTCTGCCCTGCTTTGTTTCAGCTCTTTGGCCATTCCTCTGCAAGGAGTCTACAGTAGCAGCAACGTCTCCGGTCTTCCTGAAACAGCAAATCATTGACAAAATTACAAAACAGTTGATGGTGCAAAACCCACCACAGCCTTGACAAATATTGCACTAGAAGAATGTCATACAGAAAGGTGTCATTTCAGAATGAATACAGATTAGGGATGTTAAGATTCACCGATTCGCATCGGTGCACCGGCATAAAGGTTCAAGATGCGAGTGCACCGGTTGAAAGAGGGCACATCGGCTACAGTTTGGGTTTAACTCGCGAAGCATCTATTGTAGCGTCTTTGCATCGGTAAAAAAATGATTCATTTATATAATATCCCCTCATCCACTTTTGTCAGCACTCAGCAGAGACGATCTTTGCTTCGCCACTAGGGAGGCTGAGAGCCGCGTCTCAGTTATCAACAAACCTGGAAGTCGAGGAGAAAGAGAAACACAGCACACCGAAAAATACCTACAAATCAAACATTTGGCAACACTTCTGAAAAGAGAAACCTGAAAGTTAGAGTTAATTATATAGTTATAGTTATATAGTTAACTATTATAGTTAGTTATGAGTTAAATCACTCAGTGAGGTGTTCTGTCAGAGAGAGTGGTGTTTAGTTTACAGCAGCCTGTGACTGCCAATAATAGTTTAAATGTCTTCCTTACTGTAAGCAGTTATGATAGAGCTGTTTGTGAAAGGTTATTTGTATTCTTCATTGTTCATATAGAAACCACTGCTTTCTGCTCACTGGTGAGTTAGCCTATGGATGAGTGTTAAGCACATCAGGCTGGCAGCTGTATGGGCATTGCACTATGGTAGTTGTCATTTGCACATTGTTAATCCAGGGCAATGCATCCTTAAATTGTTTAACTGTGAGGTGTTATAAAATGGTACTGTACTCTGGAGACAGAGAACACTATTACAAAGGACATTTGAAAAGGCCTGTTTGTGAAAGGTCCAAGTGTTTGTTTTTTTTTAAGGTAAAAAAGAAACAGCATAATGGGATGCGCAGCACTTTTTTGTTAATTTATTATTTGCTGCATATAAGGAATTTTAAAAAATCCTCTGTCGTACCATATTGAATTGTATCATTATTTTGCATTGTGTTGAATCGCATCGTATCGAATGTTGAATCAAATCGTATCGAACTGTATCGCAACAGGGGTGAATCGTATGCATCGCCCAGTGCTTCAAATGTATCGTATCGTTGGCAACGTATCGAGATGCGCATCGTATCGGCCTCAGTGATGGAGATGCAAATCCCTAATACAGATGCATTGAGGAGTTTGACGTTTGTTAAATAAGGATAGGGTTACATTAAGTGTATACATCTTTTTACTACACTAACGTTGGGATAAAAGTATTGTTTTGGTCATGATACAAAAATGCAGGTATCATATCCTCATTCATAGATATTATAAACCCAGGAAAAATGTCAATATTCACCACTGTAAGGAAAAAACAACAAGGATCCTGTCAGTAATATAATGAGAAACTGTCTCGAAATAACAAATAATCAATGCCATTAGACATTAACAATTCAGTATCAATGCAATGAAGAATAATATTAATAGAAAATGAATGCAGAATCCGCTTTATATTTAACAATATTTTCTTTAAATTGTTTGATTTGATGTTGATTTACATAATCAGGCAACGTAAGACTTCTCCAGCACTTGCAGACGCCCTGTCACCTACTGTATGTTCAAAAGAAATACAAAGTAAATACAATATATAAGACTGAGTTTTAATTGCGTGTCAGATGTTGCTCCAGCAGGCCTGTGAAGTCTACCGCAGGTATACTCGGTAGAAAGGGACAGACTGGTAAACTTGCAGCAATGTAAAACACTGACTAACGTTACAGTAACGGTTCTGCTACTTAAGTGGCTGTTTTCAATGCAGGACAAACTGTGACTGTCTGTTTAGCTTGCCAATAAATACACGTGGCATTTTGTTAAAAAAACACCTAGAATCAAATCCTAAAGAAACTGCTATCCAGGGAAACCAACACCCTTGCCAACTGGATAAGGGCACCGTGCCGGGGAGGGTCAACCACCTCCGCCTGAATAGCTGCAAGGATTAGGGGATTAAAGCTAACGGTTAGCCGCTGAGCTAGCAGAGAGGAAATGTCTGACTCTTACCGGTTATGTCTTCAACTTCCGACACAAACTGGGTCTCTCTCCACTTAAAAACATATTTCTGAGCCCGGTGAACGAGAGGCAGTTACATATCTGACATATCAACTTCGAGGGGACTTGACTGGTTGGCAACTGTAAACCCTTCTGCGCCTGACCATGGTGACGACGGGCGCCATTTCCTCCGACACAAGTGCAACTCCGTATATCCGCCGAAGAAACCGTTTCTCGTATAGTGGTTCCGACTTGCTTATTGTTCCTACAAACAATTTGGCAAGACACAATAAATAGTTCAATAAAAAATAATCACAAATTTGACCCATTTTATGACATAGTTTACCCCAAATAAAGCTATTTCCTTGCACTATTTTGTCTTTTATTTATAATGCCAACAACTAAGCTGTAGCTATTGTGTATAAAACAATACTACTACTACTAATAATAATAATAAATACTTTGACCACCCTGGTTCCAAATAATAATCACATCTTCTTAGACATTGTTCTACTATAAAATGGACTGAACCACAAGTATGGGATACATTCCAGTTGTGGCCCATGCGCACATTAATACATGGGTCAGAACTTGCCATGTAAAATGCAGTGGAGTGCACACGAGTGGAGGAGTCTTTGGTGCATAAGTACTTCAAGACTGTCACCCAGCATGCAGCCTAGAGGCCAAAAATAAATCAACTTTTAAGAGGTAATAAAATAAAGAGGTTCTGGATACTACAAGTGTTCCTGGAGTTTTACTTCTCCAGACTTTTTCCTTTCTCCATGCACCTTAAAAGTATGTGAAACTGTGCCGGAAATCCCTACTCCCCTTAATCCCCTCTGCAATGCCAATGCAAGCAATCTATACTCACAGTGGCTCCTTGCAACACTTGCAAAGTGAAAGGAGACAGAAGTGGAACGTTTTTGCAAAACAACACATGCTTTTAATCGCTTGGAAGAAAGTTAAAAGGAAAATAAACTGCATCTGCTGTTTGTGTGTTAGGTAGTTTCATGCAAACTGGATTTTATTAGAAGTCATTTGTTGTTTGCATGTGTGGCAGAAACTTGTGTAAGAGCAGGATGTCCTGTTTTGATTTGTTTTGCAGACAGTGGGATAAGGAGAAGACTAAACTTATTTTCCCCCTCAGGAGAATTGCATAAACCTCAAAAGATCATGTTTTTAAAAAAGCATCTGATTCCGCTTTAACTGAGCTCCAGACAGTGGTTTGCAACAAGTGGTTTGGTTTTCATTAGATCGTCTCGACACTGACCCCCTGCCCCATCCGCAGTAATATGAAACCAGCCCTCTGGCAGGCGCACAGTGCGGAAGAGACCAGAGCTGCTGGTGCTGGTGCAGTCTGCGCCTCTCCTCCGCAAGATCCGCATCTTCCACTGCGCTGCCGCACAGCTGCACCACAAGACAACACCGGGCGCAATGGCCAGGGAGTAGACGGTGAACCTGTGTAGTCTTCACTGAGGGATTATTGTTTTTTGTGTGGGTTTCTGGAGGTGTAAATCGCAGCCATGGTGTGCTGTCAGACTCGCAGAAGTTTACGCAGAAGCGTCTGGGGCTTCGCTCCTCTGCTGGCCGCCGCGCTGCTCAGCCTCGGGATGCAACCAACCACTGCGTTCCCCTCCTGGAGGTTAGAGGTATGCTGTGAGTGACCGCTTCATGATAACAGTGGGACTGACTCTGTGAAGTCCAACATAATGTCTGGTTTGTGATTACTAAGGTTGTGACTTCCTTTAATCGTTTAAAAAAAACACCACACCAAACTTCATTCACATTTCTGTGACTTAATATTTACCCTAGGTTTATGTGAAGCTTGGTGTTTCAAACGTAACATTTTGAAATTATTTGTAATAATTAAAGACTGATTTTAAATTCGGCATAAGCCTATACTGTTTTCAACAAAGCAGCACCATATTCCAAATAGTAACCAACTTTTGTAAATCAACTCATTCAGTCTGGCACTAAAACAGTAGTGAGTTTGAATGGTACTTGGTGTATCCTTTATACAACAAATTCACCAAAGATATATCAGGATTAGTGATTTTCTTTATCATGATTACAAGCTGGTCAGTAATATGACATTTAAGAAATACCTTTTTTATTTTTATTTTTAAAGTTGGTCATTAGTGACAGGTTGTCAAATTAACAGAGTAAATGTTTTTTTCAAAGCAATTGCATCATTCACACTTTTATTATGCAGGAGTTCTGCATAATAATATCTTCTTATGAAATCCGTTAGTCATAGCAAAGGCATTCACTTAAGCATCAGATTTAATTGATGCCATGTTAAAATGGAGGAGTTGGATTCCATAATTAGATTAGGCAACCGAACAGTAATATTTGTCAATGAATTAGATAAATGTGTTGCCAGCCACCCACTGTGATACAGAGCCTAAGGGATAGTTTTAAGTCATTTCCTTTGCCACACACTCATTCTGCATCCATCAACAAGACTGCTGTGGAGGATTACATTACTGCCTGAGATAAGCTCCTCAAAGGCTAACAGAATCAATTAAGGCATCATTTAAAAGACCCTAAATGGTTCAGTTAATTACATTTTGAACGTGTTATCGCTTATGTGTAATGAAAAAATGCACTATAACAGGGTTCAAAATCTAGAAAAGTATCAAAAACCCATTAAAACAAAGTATTTATATTTATTAACACTCTTTTCTACCAATGTCGACAATCAGTTTTGAATACCTGCAATCTGCTATATATTCAGAATTTCCCTTTTTGGTTTTATACAGAAAATCACCTTTCCTGAGTCTCTAAAACTAAGGAGAAAATCTTTATCCCCTTTTTTTAACGGTCTCTGAGATAAAGTCTTCCAGACTCGCCCCGGGATCCTCCGGGATTCCATGTTGTGCCCCCAGACTCACCACTTGCTTCAAGGTTTAGTCTAGCACATTTGTTTCGGCCGTCACGGTTTACAGCTCATCTCTATTTGTGCCAAAGAAGGGGATTATATTTGCAGTGAATATAACAAGAAAGGACACAGAAAGAACTTTGCTGGCCTGACTACATTAAACACCTCATAAATCACGGAGCACGAGGCTCCAGTGTGTGAACTGAGGTCAGGGAAGCAACTGTTGTATAAAACAATGACCAGAATGTGTATAGTGTAATACAGAAACATTATATTTAACATCAGAGCAAGAGAGGCCATCAAGTTCAACAGCAGTGTGGGACAGCGTGCCAGACTGCCTGCCCCTGCTTCACTATTTAGGTAAGGAAATTAAGGAAGTACTGCATCTTTTTGTCTTGACTGGGCGAAGCAGGAACTGGAACCTGAGGACAGGGTGTAGAATACAAAGTGAAGGGAGGGACTTTGATGTTTTTTCTCCATCTTCAGTACTTTTCCTTCAGTTAGAAAACACGCACTGGAGCATATGTTGCATAGGTCCAATAGTTGAAAGAGATTTCCTTGCTAATTGCTATATTTGGATTGTGTTGTGAAAGACGACAAACTATCAAATTAGCTTAAGATTTATAAAAAAAGTCAGCAACTTTTGTATAATTTTTTGTAACAGAAAAAAATGTGTGTTGCTCATGTCTCCTTTAAATCGTCTTGCACACCAAGAGTTTGGGAACCACTGCATTAAACTGATTTGTATTCTAGTGTATTCATTATAGAGTTGTATGATCGTATAACAGTGTTACTTAACTTAAGGCCCGAGGGCTAGACAGGGTTTCTGGGTTGGGCAGCTAAACATTTTCTAATTCACTATTAAAATAAACAAGTGACAATGGGATAAAGTAAACCATAAGAGCTTGTACTTAAAAAAACAACAGCAACATATAATCAATGTTATTAACTGGGCCCTGGCCTCCAAGCATTTTGTAAAGGTGGACCGCAGGCAAAGCAAGTTAAGTGTAAACCATTAGGCCTCGGTGGCTCAGTATCCTTGAAGAACTCACACTTTTTACGTGATTTCAGACAACCTATGGTGCTGAAAAATAAATTAAAGCCAAGTGCCAAAACTGCATTACCTCGAGTGGCTACCCAACACTGGCTAACACCCACATTGAGCTACACAACAGCTCCTTGTGACATTGCAGAGATTTCGTTCATCTGTATGTTTTTTGCAGGCAATAGCATTATTAACTGTTCCGACTGGACTCAATGTGGCAAAAAGCCGGCTGTTGTACAGATGAGGGATTTTGCGATGATGACTAATGGGGATAAAATCGCACACTTTCTGTTGGTCTCTACTTGAAGGGATTAGGTTTGTTCATTGCAAAAGGGCTGGCAGTAGTTATATGAACAAAATGAAGAGGCTTGAGATTGAGACTACTTTCACACCTCCACATCTGGCCAAACACTGGAAGAACACGCTTTGTGGATTGTCTGCCTTGGAAGACATTCATACTGCAACCTGTCGTTAGCAGGCTCTCGCATCCTATGACTAATTTTATGAAACATTTAAGGTTGTAAAGAAAACAAGATTCAGGATACATGGGCAGTTGTCTTCTTAAATGTATTAATAATAAACAGAAAGCCTTCCCTGCACTCACGCACAGAATGAGCTCCCAATAACCGTTGGAAAGTGGATTTATTACCTGAAACCCATCTTTGTAAAAAGTTATAGACTTGATCTACTGTTGCATTCACTTACTGGAATATCACAGCCAAAGCAAACCACAAGTTAACTTCAGTCACAAAATGTTTATGAAAGCACTTAATAAAATCACCCATAAAACTAAATAAATATCACAGAATCCAGGTGGGATGATTTGGAGTTGATGTTGCCCATCCCCTAAGGGACATTAGACACAATTTATCTGCGAAAAGAATCATACTTATGTTCGGAAAGCACTTTAACTGCTGACCGCATCCCGTTTCCATAAGATGGAATGCCCTCACAGGAAAAATGAATGTGTAAAATTGAGATACAAGCTTGAAATAAAAACAACAGGGTGCAGTTGTAACTGTCAAGGTTACTAATGGAGTTGAATGCCAGCAGCATCATAAGTAAAATCCTTTCTAGGGATTGTAATACGCATTAATCTGGCAAATCATTTAGTTTATGGAATTATTTTGGAAGCTTACTCCATGCTAATCTCTACAGCATAAGGTGTTTTAATGTCCTAACTATACTCCAAAGTAAATTGATTAATTAAAGGTTTTTCTTTGTCCAAGGAAGAAGCTTACACCACTGTGCTGCTCATCAGGATCCGCAAAGAGGCCAGGTCACAAGTGCTTCACCTCTCCAGGAACAAGCGCTACACCCTCACCCCGGAGAAGCTCAAATGGGACGAGTTCAAGCTAACATACAAGTATTCCTTTATAATTCTTCCTTTAGTCAAGTCAACAGCAAAGTACAGTTGTAGAAAATGTTAGACTGGTGTTGGTTTTTGCAGGAAAACACTGCCATCGACTGTTGGCGAAGTCGGTCAGTGGCAATTTTTAAGGAACCATTTACCCTAAATGGAAACAGCATGTCAATATCTTCTCATCTAATGTCAGTCATGATGTGTAACAGAGCTTAAAAGGACCACTACTACAACCACAACGCATTTGTGAGAAAAAAAGTGAATGATAAAGCAAGTACTTGGTTTTAATCTTGGATTGTGCTGCATCTAATGTTTGTAGAAGATCCAGAGGCATTTAGTTTCTTTGGAGCTATAAAGAAAGGATTCCCCCATTCGAAAATATGTGTTTTAGAAAGGTTTGATCACTGGGCTTTGGTGATCCAGCCTTAGTGGACAGTAGCCACATTTCAGTTGTTCTTGAATTAGTCAAATATTATCTTCAACTCTTTCATTATAGAAACTCTATGATCAATACTGGATTTAAAAGAATCCACATCAGTCTCACACTATCCGAGATATAATATAAAGTAATGGAGCTGTACTTGCAGTGCGTGTGGGAATTCTGAGTGAACAGTAGCCATTGTATTTTGGCAGTTCTCTCCGCTGCAGAAGTCCATTAATAACTACATAAAGCCGTTTTGTTTCTGAGCAGGTTGCTCTCCTTCCCTACAAACTTGATAAATGCCAGCGACACTCGCCGAGGCATTGCCAAGGCTTTTGGCGCGTGGAGCGACGTCTCGCCGTTTACCTTCAGAGAGGTGCCAGCTGACCAAGAAGCAGACATTAAGATTGGTGGGTACTCGGCATGTGGCTGCATCAATCCCCAACAGATTTCCCTTGGCTCCGCGCTCCAGACTGCTTTGTCGTTATCGTTTTTCTCTCCGTGTTGTCAGGCCAGAAGTCTCTTTGCCTCCAAACGTCTTAAATCACACCAACACGACTATATTACCAGACTTATTTCAGCATGATTCATATTTCTAAATGAAAAAAATAAATTCTTAACTACCATCAAATATGTCAGCCCATGGTAAAGCAGTCTAAATTATGCTTTATCCAACCCCGGGGGTTCAAGCTCCAGGGTCCTGCATAAATTCACAGTGACAGCAAGAGGAATGGTTGTCATCCTGCGGGGTGAAGGCTAAAGAAATTAGCTCTGTCTTTTGTAATTCATCATCCCCCTGCTGTTGTCATAGAGCATAAATAATGGAGTGAGGGCTTCCCTCCTCGGCTCTGAGGTATGTCTCTCTCCCTCTGTCTTGGCAGGCTTCTATCCCGTCAACCACACAGACTGTCTGCAGTCTTACTTGCACCATTGTTTCGATGGCATCACAGGAGAATTGGCGCATGCATTCTTCCCGTCAACAGGCGAGATCCATTTCGACGACCACGAGTACTGGATTCTAGGAAACATGCGCTTTAGCTGGAAGAAAGGCATGTGTCTCCATTAGGTTCAAACTGCTCATATTTAACCTGTAAGGTGATTGACGCTGAAAATAATCAAAAGTATCCATGTTGCAGGTGTTTGGCTGACGGATCTTGTCCATGTGGCAACTCATGAAATTGGCCACGTACTGGGACTCATGCACTCATTGAACCCTAAGTCCATAATGCACCTGAATGCAACTCTGACTGGGCGCAAGCTCATCACACAGGATGAGGTGTGGGGTATTCACCGCCTCTACGGTAAGTTCACACTTTTCTTCCAGAACACAAATAGAAAAGCTTTTCTTTCTGGCTTTAACAATTGCCAGTAAGAAGCTTGTCAAAGGCAAATGGAGATATTTGGTCGTGAAGACATTTTGTAATTCATCCAAAAGGTGAAAAACATGCTCAAGACCAAAAGAAACAAAACAACTTCTCATTCTGGGATCAGACTAATCTCTGCAACGATATATTAACGGATATCTGTTAGAAATATGTATCAGAGGTGTTCTATTTTCGGTTTTGTAGAATCGACCAATCCATTTTGAGCAGACGCAGCCCGTAAACAGTACGTATGGAGAGCAAAAATGGCAGTATGCCCTGCCGTGGAGTACATTGGTCGAAATGCCATTTCGATAAAAAATTTCAGACTCAGTTTAAACGGGGAACTTGTGAAAGAATCTAATTCTTAGATAGTTTATCTTAACCCGAGCTAAACTATTGCGTCTCAGGTTGCTAATCAACAATATGCCCAGAAACAACACCCAAAATATTTGCCTTTCTCCAGATGCTTATCGTCGTCAGGTCCATTGCCAATGGCTTCTAAGAGCAGCCCACCCTGACAGAGCAATGGTGCATCATATTCAAAGTTTCACAGCAGTTTGACTACTGGGCGTTAGACCTTTAACATGCCAATCGAAACAGGAATGATGTTGTTGATGCTATCAGCTAACAGTGAGGTCAGTCTCTGGCACTTCCTTTCCATTCTCCTGCTCATTAGAGTCATGAAAGATGGTAAGCTGTCTTCCAGCAAAGTCAGGGCAAGGATTCAAGCATTTAAGTAATCCCCCCCTCAAATGGCAAAATGATAATAAATACATGTGGTCCATCCCGGCATTAGAAATGTACATCTATATGCAGCTAAAGAACTAGCTGTACAAATCAGTTTTCCATTCCATTTTTGGCCACAACCAACCAGAATTTAGAGCACAGTGTTTGCTTCTGACAACTGACACTGAATTGGCATTAATGAATGTTGTATAAAAGTACTCGAGTCATCATAGTGAGTAATTTTCATTGGAACAAAAAGTAGATTAGAGACTGGCTGACTTGTCTGATCCTCCTACCCCCCCCTCTCTTCCAGGATGTTTGGACCGGTTATTTATCTGTCCTGCCTGGGCTCGGAAAGGCTATTGCGACAGTAAGCGCAGGCTGATGCAGAAGCACTGCCCCTCCAGCTGTGATTTCTGTTACGGTAAGAGACAGCAGCAGTCCAACAGAGAGTTTTCCCTCAATTGAGCAGCTCAACGAACTGCTGTGAAGCGTTTGCCAATGGAGCAACGGGGTCCAACAGGTTTAGCCACGCAGAGCAGCGGTGGGTGTTGAATTGAAAGGAGATTACACTTGCTCTTGGAAGAGATTCTGTTAAATCCTGGAGTACACCATCATCTCCAGGGAGAAAATGTTGGTTTTAGAGCAAGTACATTTTAATTGCTGCCAATATTGATAACCCATCAACTGTCTGACAGCATAAACTAGAATATATGTATTGTGGGTTGCACAGGCCTCCAGTTGCACAACAGGGAATGGCTTCTTTAAAACAATCCCGGCCAATGGATTGTTGTGGCTTTTTGGAGATTTTTGTCAGCAACAAGGGACAGTGCGGGGAGAGGCAAGAGGATACGATTCCTGGCTCACAGTAATCTGTTCCTCGTTGTTGATTGGGAGACGTTGTACGGCTGTGGAAAATTCCTGAGTGACTCCAAACCACTGGAATTTCAGACTGTGGCTTGAGGGTTAGAGACACACACGGTCAATTTGGATTTTTGTGGCATTAACAAGAGCAAATGTTTTTAAAGCTGACTGTGTTGTGTTTGTAAGAAACCAGATGGGAGAGAGTATATTGATAAGACGACCGCAGGTAAGGAATTGTGAAAAGCATAGTGTTTCACGTGATCACGTTTGTATCACATTTTCGGACCGAGTTTCGGTGAGGGAAAGTTGTCACATCTCCAGATGACACAGTACACAGAGGTGCAGGATAATCCTTTTTTGATTACTCTCAAGATGATTGGTCAGGATCATTTTAAGATCATCAAGACTGATGTTTGTGTGTCTTTTTTTTGAAGCATCGGCTTAAGTGTTTCTCTCTTCAGAATTTCCTTTCCCCACTGTGGCTCCCACCCCGGCGGCACGGAGGACCAAACACAAGCTGGTGGTCGAGGGCAAGAAACTCACTTTTCGTTGTGGGAAGAAAATAGCATCGAAGAAAGGAAAAGTATAGTGAGTATTTGTTTTCTGTCCACCTGACCTATCCTATAATATAAAAGAATGAGCGCCATCTAACACCTTTCTCCTGTTTCAGCTGGTACAAGGACGGGGAGCTGCTGGAGTTCTCCCACCCAAACTACATTTCCTTGAAAGACGACCACATCACGATAGTGGCCAACGCCATCAACGAAGGCACGTACACCTGCGTTGTGAAGAAAAAGGACAAAGTTCTCACAAACTACTCGTGGAGAGTGCGTGTGCGCTTCTAAAAGGCCTCCGCGCACACAAGGAGACTTCACTCACTAGGGCACATATTTCTTCTGTATCTTTCAAATACAACTGTTAATTGTCAATGTGTGAACTGGTTTTGTGAAAAGAATAAATGTTCTGTGACAAGTAGTTCTTTCGTAAACACCACCTGACTTTGAAAAGCTGCTCATGACAGAATTTCTGGTTTGCATTTTGTTCGAGGATATAAAAGATTCAAACAGCGCTTGTCAGTTGTTTGGGAAAATAGTCTACTCTACTAATAGTCTAGGGTTTATGAGGAGGGGTTTAACATGCATTTTATTTCTGAAACTAGCTTTTTTTTCTAGTACCTCGATTTGGTGCCATAAGATGGTTTGCCAGGATTTCTTCAAAGCTCTTGCTTCCAAAACTGCATTCACATGAGTGCAGAGCCTTGCGGTAAAAACATCTGATTTGTTTCACAACGAAAGGTCAGCAGTAAATGAGGTCAAAGTTTAAATAAATTGTATTTCGAGCGCAATGAAAGGCAACAATTTTGCCGAGGCTCACAACCTACAGAAACACAACTTCAGTGCAGAAACGTTTTGTTTCGTAACATTTGAAAGCAGCTTAAGGCAGTTATGGTCCAAGGCCAACCAGGGGTTCTTGGAGTGACCAACCAAAACGGGAACTAATTAGATGTTACTGTAGCTAAGTTCAGAAGATATAAACCGAGTTGGAGAATATATAGAGTGGTGCATTGTTAACGTTTTTTTGTAAACCGACCCAGATTTGCAAATGGGTACCTTGACAATAAGGAATGGGATATTTTTCAGCAGGATAATCTCCACATATCAACAAGACTTTGTGATGTTCGAAGCGTCAATGCAATCATTACATTACATTTAGCTGACGCTTTTATCCAAAGCGACTTACAATAAGTACATTCGACCAGGAAGATACAACCTTGACGAAAACAGAATCATATAAGTACATCAGGTTTCATAGAGCCAAACATTTCAAGTGCTACTCAACTGGCTTTAGATAAGCCAGTCCTTTATTAGTATAAAAGCGCTCTGTTAGCAGTTCTTTGTTAGTAATTCTATCACTCAAAGTGGAGTCGAAAGAGATGAGTTTTCAGTCTGCGCCGGAAGATGTGCAAGCTGTCTGCTATCCTGATTTCAATGGGGAGCTCATTCCACCATTTTGGAGCCAGGATAGCAAACCCACGTGTT